TTACATGATTTCACAATACAACATAAAAAATCAAGGCAAAATTTCCATGATGTGAAAAAAGAAACAATGGAAGAGTGATGAGAATGGAAAGCGAAGAGATAAAACAAAATGATAAAATAACATAAATGGATGAAGAATTTGAAACAATAATTGGATCATTTTGCATGAAAACAACAGTTAGCAACAAATTTTGATAAGAGCATCTTACCAGCTTTGATGTGAAGAACTCCACCAAGCTACTAACAGTGCGACTATCTAATGGCTTCTCTAGAAGACGAGAAAGCACTTCTGATAGGAGAAGTATACCTGAAAATAATCATGAGAATACTAATAGGTAATATGTAAAATTTCAGACTTGAAAAAAGGTGAAGATACTTAGAATTGCAAGCTCAGTAATGTGGTGAGTTTATGTACTCATATAGCTTACGCCGCTAATGAAATCTCATGAGAAACTTGTTTTAAGCAAGTTGTCAATCACATCTAGCTCCTGGAGCCACCTTACATTTTCATAGCAGAAAACAGGCACTCAAAATATGACATGTTATGAAATTTAGGTTTCAGAAATATGTGAATTCTTCCATTCTATAAAAATCTATTCCATATCAGACAAGATCCGCAATAACCATGTCAATATAGTAAAAATATAAGGCCAAACAAATAGGAGTGGCAAATCGTAGCTGTTGATAGGAACTTATAAGCGGCTTAATTTCCTATATCTTATTTTCATATAGATCAGTTATCCACGAATGAATAAGATATTAGAAGCCAGCAACCTTACAAAGAAGATGTGTGGAGAAAGGAATACCTATAACAAATGCTATAAAGGTTTGTCTTAAGCCCAACTTGTTTAGCACACAACAGCATTGATTGAGTGGTTTGTTAACCCATTATACAAACAGAACCACTGAAGGTAAATCCTCCAATTGCATCTATATCAATAAGAGAGAAACACATACGAGGACTACTAAGTCTCTATGATCAAGTTGTAGGCTAATATAATGGCACTACTTCTTTAGTTATAGGTAATGAAAGAAGCATGCTTAAGTAGCATCAGAATACAAATAGTCTTTTAGCAAGTAAAAATTACCTCTAGCACGAATCACATGGTCTGAGGCGGTTAGATACTGTTCCATCTCTCTCACCTAAAAATACAAAAAAGAAAAGGAAGAGTATCACAAATATCCACACACCAAAGATTTGAAAGGTAAAGCATAAAAATATAATTCAATGACAAACCAATCCCTCAAGGGTTAAGAGGTCTTCATGCACTAGGACTGCGATGGCATCCACACTAGCAGCCTGTAACACAATTATTTCAGCAATTTAAACCGATGACCTAAAAGCTATAAAAATAAGGAATATGTAAAAGATTAAGAGACATCAACATTTCACAATCAGTTTGAAGCATACGCAATTACATCATATACAAAAAAGCTTAAAGGGCCAAACAAGTATTTAAAACCCTTGCCTCAATATATTTTAATTTCAATGGATTGACTCGATATTCGAAAACCTATTCAAGAAGTATCTTGATGCAGATCTAGCAGTTGAAGTAAGACTTATCTTCACAAAACCAATAAGAAATAAGGGACTGACCACAAGAAATTAACACCAAAATAAAGCTTACGATCAAGATTCGAATTCAAAGTAATACAGGGTTCAATAACGCGAAAAAGTGACAAAAGAAATGCTAAGTAAAATTATTTGTCATCAAGTCGATTAAATCGCTAAAAAGAAGCACCACGGTTCACAAGAAGTTCCAACACGATGAACCTAACATGACAACTAAAACAAGGAGGGAGGGAGGGAGGGAGGAAAGAAAGAAAGGAGAAGTTTCTTAAAATTCGTAAAGGAAAACGGAGGAGGACGAAGAGCGAAGACAGCGCGACCTGCTGGTTCGAGGCGCGAGCGGAGTCCACAAACGCTTCGACATGGGCGATCCACGAATTTGGTTTCTCCATCAAGATTCGAAGCCGGGGTGAGGAGGATGAAGGGGGCAAAGAATTTAGAGAGGGTTCTGGAGCAGCGAGCGAGCGACGATTCTTGAGGCTAGCAAAGAGGAGCCGCGAGAGAAAGGGTTTTAAGAGAGGGTTTCCGGCCGCCCGACCTCTCGTGGACCGGTTTAACGGAGGCGGAGGTCATTTATTTTAGATCCGCCTCACTCACTTGAACGGTTATTGACGTACCAGTGGTCCGACTTGTGGGACCATGAGATACCTCCAATTATCACGAAGGTAGTTCGTCGTGCTAGCGATAGGACACGCCAGTCACCTCTACCTGACGTTTTACCGCGAAAGTGCTTTAAGTTGGAGCCCAAAACCCAGGAACTTTTCACGGGCGACGTGGTGTTCGATAGAGCTCATGTGAGAGACAGGTGACTCACATTTGGTAAGTGCTACTATAATTACGCTGGATGAAATCTTTCTAACCATCGCAAACCTCCCGATGGGACCCATGTGGTTCCATCACCGGATGATTCGGGCTGATTGATTAGAGAGACAGGGAACGGGTTGATCGGATGATGTGTCTCGAAGAGTTCCTCCACATGCGGGCCATTCGATAATCTGGCAAGAAAGATAAGTCATTAATCTGACATTTGATGCATCACATTGGATTTTGAATTTGGACAACCGGTGTCGCATACGTTGACCAAGTTATTTGAACCTGTATTAAACCACCAAAACTGGAGAAAAATAAACGAAAATAAAAGAGCCCGTGGGATGAGAAATTTTTGGGTTACTTTCTTGGGCAAGATCCCAATAAAGGGAGGGCTCACGAAGTAATGATGCATCGAATCATTCACTGTAGTCGAAAGCAAATATTGCAGAGAAGTATAAAATATAAAAACGAAAACATTATTCTGAATCTACTGTTCAGATGCACCAAGCAAAAGGAAAAATAAAGAAAAGGATACCAACTCAATTCTCCACTTTCTTTCCATGATAATAAGAAGTCTGTAAGAAAAATAATGAAACATCTAAGCAACCTTTTTCTAAAAACTATCAAACCAGAAACATCCAGGATTTACTGAGACCAAATAGGGAGATCAGAACAGATTGATTAAAAGATCCAAAAATTTGAGGGAGAGATGCAACATCACAAATGACTTCACACTAAATCATGTCAAATTGTGTGAATCTAAGTACTAAATATATGCAACAAATGCTTGCAAAACATGAAACAAGAATCTAAAGAAAAAGATTGCTTGAAAACTTAAAACCCACATCTACTCAATTATAGGATGTATCAGATAAAGAAATCAGTTTATCAAGGTCTCCAAGATGGGCAATAGGTCCATGAGTCATGGACTACAACTCCAAACTGTGTCAAGAATGCACTGCATCACTTGTGTTCTTTTCTGATCCAAGCCCTTCAAGATGGGCTACAAGGACTTAAACAGTAGCAACAATAGTTGGAAAAAATAGCACTATAATAGTGAATGAAAATGCACTAAGACAAATGCAGATTCACAAACAAATAGCTTCAGATTGTTGATCATACGAAAATAAGAAAAATAAAAAACTGTAAACATCCGAACAAAATCTAGAATGAAATGTAAGAGCAAGGGACCTAAAAGAGCGTTCAGCTCATTCCGAGGATAGGCAAAGGCTCCTAGCGAGACAACAATCTCCAAACTATATAAAGAACTGGAATTCACGTAGGAAGGTCACCATCCACAAGGTAAAATATGCTAACTCACTCAGACATATATAACAGAGTAATTACTTGCAATATCTTAAATCTGGGAACCTAGACATGATGCACTAAATGCTAAGCAGATAAGGCTTTCCCTCATGCAATGGAGATACACAAATAATATGGATAAAGTTAATCATTCTATGAAAATAAAGATAAATCCAATCATGAAGATGTTAAGAAAAGAACCAACAATAGCAGTTGAAATCGGAGTTATAGGTAACAAATTGCTATGAAATTTCAAGGTGCATAACAACAATGGACCGTAAGGTAGTTCAGAACTATGCTCATGTTCCAGCATCCATGTGTATGAGAAAGATACAAGTTTGCCGAAACCAAAAATAAATCAATGTATTGTTTAACTAGACAAGGGACTACTTTATAATTCACCAATCAGGTAGAATATATCTCCATATGATTTGCTATTTTGCTCGAGAAGTAGCAAATACACCCCTTGCCATAATAAATTGACTCTCAAATCATTTGATCACATGCAATTCTGCATGAAAAGGGTCATTACAAGTCTTTTGGATGCACAACAAAAATTTCAAAGGAAATGACGTGCTGCATGAAATTAAGCTGAAATTAACTTTCAGGTGTATGTGTGTCTTCAACACAGGAATAAATAAAGCAACAAAACATAGCTTGCTTCTGGGGAGTTTTCAAGAGAAGAATGAGAACAAGTAATTCCAATCACAAATAATCATCTAAATTACGCAAAAAAATCAAACAAAAAGCAAGCATATTCAGTTAAACAAAAGACAATCAGTAGAACACGGTGATCATAATTTAACAATTAATAAACAAAAGTTGCCAGACAGATTTGCCCAAAAGATCGCTTGTCAAAGACGGTAAAGATGTAACCTTAGATTGAAGCATCATTCATCTCTTTCCCTGGATCATGATTATTCTTGCCGATCAAATGGTATAGAAGCACCCCTGCTGCCACACTAACATTTAAGCTCTCAACAGCAAGAAAGGACTTGAGATCTTTCCCAGAACGAGCCTGATCCTTTTCCTCGATATCCACTTCAGTAGTTCCACCATACACAGCCAACGGATCGCTTCCAGGGATTCTAATCAACTGAGTACAAGACCTCTCCACCAAAGGCCTTAACCCACTGCCTTCACTACCCAACACAAGAATTGTAGGCACCCCTGCTTCAACGTCTCCCAAAGGGACAGCTCTAGAAGAGACTGACCCTCCAAGAACTCGCCAACCGTTCTCAGCAGATGATGACAAGAACTGCATCATGTTCTTACAAGACAGAAGTTCAATTAGTTCAAGAGAGCCTGCACTGGCTTTGCTAACTACACCGCTTAGAGGAGCCGAATTCTTAGCACATAGGATCACCCCTTGTGCCCCAAAGAAATAAGCTGATCTAATGATAGCCCCTAAGTTTTGAGGGTCTGTTACCTCATCCAGAGCCACCCAAAGAGGAGCACTTTGATCATCTTTCATGACGGGATCCAGCTCCCTAATATTCACCATCTCCAATGGTGAAGCATCAAGAACCAATCCTTGATGAGGCCGGTTATCGACCACCATATTGAGGTCGTGCTTCGAAGCCTCTATGACCTTCAAGTCCATCTTTTCCGCTATCTGCAATATTTTCTCCACTGCTTTCTTGTCCTTCTTCTTCTTGCTGTTTCCACTCAAATCCAATCCTTCCTGGACATAAAGAACATAAAATTCCCTTCTTTCTGCCATCAAAGCCGCCAAAACCGGACCAACACCGTATACGCCCTGGCCAACCATCTTTGGAACTGATGATTCAGTGGCCTCTTTCCATGTCCTTTTGCCCCAGCTCTCTTGCTTACTCCACCGTTGAACCTCCGGCTTTTCGAACTGAGACCTCCCGGCCTCTTTCACTGGCCTTCTTTCCCAACTCTCCCGATTACTCCAGCGCTGGATCTCTGGTTTCTGGAACCCAGACTCCTGTCCAATGATACCCTTGTACTTGCTCTTGATCTTATCCCACCTTGGGTCGTTAATAGGCTCGACGTCTCCGTCTTCTTCCTCCACCCCTTCAACGATGGTGCCTTTTCCCACAATGTCATTATCATTTCTGGCAACAAAGCTCTCGGCTGCCTCTTCCCAAGAGGAGCGTTTGGTTCTCGCTGGCGCCTTTTTTTGTATACGCTTCCCTTCCCTGTTCCCATAAGCTGCCGCTATCCAAGGGAGTGACTCACCGGTCCTCCGACCGCCACCATCGCCCTGTGGTCTCTGCTGTGAACCACTGGACAAAGCCCTTGTTCGCTCTCCATGTTTGCCTTCTCGGGGCCCAAGGTGACGCGAAAAGCTTCTAAATTCTTCGGAGGAACAACTCGATATCCTTTGACGGCTGATTCTTAGTTTTGATATATTGAAGAAGAAATGAATCGCCGGGCCTTTGGCGAGGCTGCACAGATACATGACTGTGGCAAGGTTTAAGTGAGAGAGGAGGGAGAAAGATTGGTACCGCGAGGAGAGAGAGGCGGCCGAAGGAAAAAAATGGCTGAGATGTGTTCGATGAAATGTCCCACCGTCGAACGCAATGCGACTGACAGGTTGTGTTGGCCAATGGGTATTAAAACGTGCTGCCTTAGAGCTTGCGCCGGATAGAGGAATCGATAATTTTATGCAAGTATTTTTATTATTTATTGATATTATTATTTATTTAGTCGAAAGGACCAATACAACATGTGCCCATGAGAAAATTAATTTTTATTTTTCTTGACTATAAATTGAAATCATATGCCATCGATACTTAAATCAAACTTACGATAGTAATTTTTCTGTGGCCAACACACTATTTCCCATTCCTAACAACAGCTCGTGCACTCTCCTCTTACACTTCAAAGTGCCACGAACTCCACGTCAATGCTGTGTGGCCGCACGCACTGTGAGGTCTGATAAAACATGGAATATTAATTCATTATGTGGTTTATCGTAACGTGATCTGTATGCATGCTAAATTAGTAAATAGGGATTATTCGATCTGTATCAGTAAATAATGTATTAGCAAAAGAATTATGAAGGCAATACAGACCAACATAAATGACTCAAGGAGAACTTCCTAGAGCAACAATTTCCAAGTAAAGAACCGCATACCAGTCTCAGAAAGCAAACAAGAATATTAAACAAAAATAACCAATATACTAAGTCTCTTGCCAAAGGAAGCATTACAAGAATGATATAAAAATCGGCTGTAAGAAATTTGTTGGGTCTGATCAAACCCAAAGACATCTACCATAAAGCCGTCAACAACTGGAGTGAAGTACGACCCAAACACATCCCAGTTAGAGAAGCCACATACATTGGGATGAACAAGACAGCACAAAGCCACAGTGCATATGTTATATCGTACCATTTCAAGAGTATGATACATGATCAAGTTGAAATAGTAAGGAGGTAATAGTAAACAATTGCATTCAAGGATGTGATGGCACTTACACATAAGAACTTATTTTAATAGACAATGAACCAAGATCCACCAGTATAATTACTAATGGTTAATGTAACATGGCTCTACGAATAGGCTAACAAATGTACAAATAAGAGTAACATGCGAGAATGTAAACTAACGACGCCTGATAAGATTGCATTAACAATGCCTCATCACAATATCACCACAGTCAAACTAAATTTCACCAAGATGATCTAAATTGCTCTTCAGGAGTGACATTTATAAGATTATTCCCCGCTTGCGAGTTTAGATCGGTGTCTACCTCATTGAATTGTAGAAATATGTTAAGCATGATTGACATAATATGCTACGGTCACCAGCCAGTTAACAAAGATTATAGAGGTTTGAGCATCACTGCTTTGAAGCTGGATAATATTCAGGAATTATCTGTTTCGCATTAAAATTATATAGATAATTAGGCTTAAGAATTGCTCATAAGTTCTTTCGGAAGAATGCATTTGAACTTTTTTAAGTTTAAAATGAAAATAACACAAAAGAAATATGATAGTTTTGGCACCGGAATGATGCTAAACTATCTCTAAAAGAATTTCATTCATTGAAATCAGAATTTTCCTCCTGATGAAATCAAGAACATAATTTCTTGTTTTTCAATATGAGGTACCCAACAGGAGTGCAATGTTTTCAGTAGAAATTATAGAGCATAATGTCAAAATCTTAATATGAACAAGTTCCGAACAGTAGAGCATGACTCCTGCTTTGTAGCACCACTTTTTCTCGAGCAATTAGTCACAATCAAGTCTAACATATGGAAATGTGTTTACCGCACATATGGTATAACAAGCATCACTTTTCACCGGCAAAACTCCGGCGATAATATCATGCACAATTAAAGCAAATATATAGTCTGACGGGAAACCCTAACATCTATGGTAGGAGTTCCCTTATGTTTATTGTGTGTGTATAGGCACGAGCTACCAGTGAGAACCAACAGAGAGCTACAGCAGCTCATCCTCAAAGGATGCATTGCATTAAATCTATTAAAGGCATGCAAATAAACAAAGCACCACAGACATGAAGTTAAATGAGTTCCTATAAGTAAATAATTATAGCTCCTTGCAGAAGCTACTATAAACCACTGATCAAATTCTATATCCTTCAACAGAAAGGATAGAAGCAATCACCATTGCAACTAGTGATCATCACCAGATAAGTAGCCAAATGAGATCAAATGCATTCAAAAACACAGTGATAATTCATTGCCAAACATCAGCGACGACAAAACCAAACAAGCACAACAAAGCACCACAGACATGAAGATAAATAAGTTCCTATAAGTAAATAGTCACAGCTCCTTGCAGAAGCCACTATAACCACTGATCAAATGCTATATCCTTCAACAGAAAGGATAGAAGCAATCACCATTGCAACTAGTGGTCATCACCAGATAAGTAGCCAAACAAGATCAAATGCATTCAAGAGCGCGGTGATAATTCATTGCCAAACATCAACGACAACAGAACCAAACAAGCACATAACATATCCAGTTTGGCAGAAAAACAAAGAGCAAATTGGCATATGATAGATATGTAGATCGCAAATTTAGCTGACTAACGACAGTTTTAACGTGAAAGCAACCTAAACAGGATTAGAAGGAATAAGTAACTTTATTGAATACCAGAGTTTCATGCTGATCCTGAGCTTGGCCCTCCTTTGAGGCAGGTGTTGTTGAGTCGTTCTATGGCCAAAATCAACGCCTGGGTCCCTAATTCCCCTTCCCCATGCGCCATGAGCGAGACATACAGCTGATGCGCCAACCCCAAACCTGGCAATGCCAATCCCATGCTCTGGCATTCCTTCAAACAGATTCCGAGATCCTTCACATAGTGATGCACGTAGAACCCAGCTTCCATGTCCCTGTCCAAAATCCTCTTGCCATAGAGATCGAGCGATTTCGACCCTGCCGCGCCCGTGGATATGGCCTCCAACCACCGCCCCACGTCAAGCCCGGCCTTGTGAGCGTACATCATCCCTTCCACCAACCCTACCATCGTCGATGCTATTGCAATCTGGTTCCCAAGCTTCGCTCTCTGCCCTTGCCCTGGCCCTCCCATGTACCTCACCGTCCCCATGCACCCGAACAGAGGCTCCAGCCTCCGGACGACGGCCTCGTCCCCTCCAGCGAAGATCGACAGGGTCCCGGCGCGCGCCCCGCGGTCGCCGCCTGACACCGGCGCATCGATCGCGGCGCAGGACCCCGCGCGGGCGGCCTCGGCGATCTCGGCCGCGAGAGCAGGGTCGCTGGTGGTCATGTCGACGAGGACAGAGCCCGGGGCTAGGCCAGCGAGGGCTCCATCGGACGGATCGAGGGCAACACGGCGGACGTCGGAGGGGTAGCCGACGATAAGGAAGACGACGTCGCTGGCGCGCGCGACGGCGTCGGGCGAGCTGGCGAGCTTGGCGCCACGGTCAAGGAGGGGCTGGGCCTTGGCGGGGGTCCGATTGAAGACGGTGAGGTAGTAGCCAGCGGAGAGGAGATGGCCAGCCATGGACCGGCCCATGACGCCGGTCCCGATCCAGCCGACCCGGGTCGTGGCAGGGGTTATGTCACGGTCGGACGAGGAAGCGGCAGCCATGGCGAAGAAGCGGAGGCGGCCGACGAAGCGAGTGAGACGGAGACGACGGAGGAACGGCGGGAAGGGCATGGAGAAGAGGTGAGCAAGTGGCACATCGGTAAATATAACGGGAGCCCAACAGTATCCTTCAAATTTCCTAAACTGCCCCTGGCGATCGAGATAAGATGAGACGGGTGGTAGCACTGCGGTGTTGATCGGACGGGGGAGGCAGCGCCGTTTCGTTAAGATGGAAAGGCGGCCTTCGACTTCGACGGACGGAGTGGTGGAGCACGAGCCGTTGGGGTTTCAGAGGCGGTCGTCAACTTCCCGGGCTATGCGTTGGATCCAATTGCGCATGCCCTGTGCAGCTATGACTTGGTGGTCTTCTTGTGTAAGGACTCGTTTGAACCGAAGGCTATGATTGCACAGAGCCCACGGGAAAATGGGCTGTTGCTTCTCAACAGCCCACATAGAATGAAAGAGCTAAGCAGGCGTTTTGACATTTTGGATTCGGACGACACAAAAATAATTGGCATTAAAAGGCGGAGAAGAAACACAAACGTAAGCAGCATTATCCTATTCGTTTTAAAATAATTCTTCCTCGAAACAGCAACTCAGATTCAAAATTTATAATTATTCAACTGATAAATTTATTTTATATTTTATGAAAATATATTATCTTAGTACACACAATAGTATCTCTTTTTATTAAAATATCCGAATTGATTAGTGCACTTTCAAATAAGCATAGTCATCCATATCTATTGAGATATCAGAATTGATTAATGTATTATTTATAAGTGATGGATCTCAAATTTAAATATCATTGATATGATAATTTTTAAAATATATATATAACTGTCTAAAAAAATTATAATCGAGGCTTCAAGAGTTTAGTTATGGACTAATTGAAATTTGGGAGTCTTCCAACCATAAGCATGTTTCTCACCAAAGAAAACAAAAATTCTACTTCTTAATAATATTATTATCCGATTCATTTTGAAAGTAAATCTCGTAAAAACGAAATAATAAGAACAGTTTTTGTTATATATTTGATCATCGATTAATCGTATGTTTTGTTTGTCATTCAACATCACTATTAGAAATCGCATCAACTACTTATCTGTGCACGTCTCTCTTTTTTTTTTCCGTTAGAATGTTTTCTTAATTTTCATGTTTTTCTCTATTTCTATGTGACATAGTGCTGATGACATTCTGACACCACCCGATCGACAATTCAACACCATATTATTGTCATCTCAACATCACCTAACTCATTTCTCGAACATTTTAATCACATGTATGGTCATTACATGATCTCTTATTTTGCTGTAATGTGATCCCACTCAATATTAGGAAAGATACTTGATATTAATATAGTCTTCAAATATAAAGATTCAAAACTTTACTATAAAAGCCCTTTGGGTGTGCTCCCAAACTCTCTTGAATATTCACCATCTCTAATACATGTAATTTTAAAATACTTATTATTTAACTAATACCTCTTAACCAAACCTAATTTATGCATCGAAAAAATTTTATTAACATACCCTTGATGCAGTTTTGTATGATTTGACGTATTCTAAATCAAGGGGATTCGATATTTCTCGATACCAATAATAAATGCATAATAAAACATCGATTGATCTTGAATTGACATTCTAATCAAACAATTAAAATATACACTAACGGTATAGAAATATTACTATTCGCATAACTTTACAAACTTAATATTTTTATTTTTTCATAAATTCCTCCCCCCAAATGATATATTTATGATTATGAATATCTACGATTAAAACTTAAGAGGGGGTATTTTCAATACCATCCATCCAATCATAATTTGATGATAATAAGGTGAAGGTATGATATGATAAATATTATTCACGAATTTCAATTGTGAGATTTATATTTAATTTAAATATAGGCCCCAAGCTTATTATAAGTTTGGTGGTACAGAAATTATATTGTGGTCTACTCAATTTCTTCAATACATAAGTAAGTAGGGATTAACTCGTATATCCCTATAAACACACTTAGAGGGTACTTTTACAATGAACTTAGTAATCGCTGAATTAAAGTGATGATTAACTCGTAATTATATAAATTTTTCTATGATCAGTCTATCGGTGGAAATGTATATCAATCCAAGTTATGATTATAACACATTGGTACATTCTACTGTAGGGATGAGTAGTCATCTTAGTTGATACTGTTTCAAAGTCGATCTCATAAAGTGACGTATTATTGGATTGCTGAAATATCGATTCTATATATATATATATATATATATATATGAAACTCACTTGGGAAACTACGGACGTCTCGACGCATGAGACTAACATCCATACAAGTATATACTTCGACATGAGACTTGATAGGTGTTAGTGTAAACAACCTTAAGCCGTGGCCTCGGGACTGACGCGACTTAGTTCGGATCCGGATGACGGGAATCTTCCTGGGACGTTCCTCCCGACTGCTGAGGTAGTCGATCACGGTGCTCCGATTGGGACGGGGTCGCTATTCCCTCCGGGCAGGAGCTCCTCGCCTGTGCGTTCAGTGGGGACCTTCGGCCTCGCACCTGCACAAAGGTCGGGTCGGGGTGCTCGGCCCGACCCCTCCGACGACCAAGTCAGTGGGCGATCGTGGGGGGTTCTTTTCTTTAGGCAAGTGGTATCTGCTTCTCCCTTCTTTCTCCTCGGCACGCGAGGGTTTTTATAGTGAGAATTACCGTTGCATGATGTGCCTACCCGCATGGAGCGGGATCGTACTTCTGGTAGCGTCTGACATTATCGTTGGCGTGGCGCGGGGGATCGAGCCCGAGCAGGGTATTAATGCGCCTTGATAGGCGTTCCGGTCCGTTTTGACCGGGTGCCTCATCAGGTCAACAGAGGCGGGAGGCGTAAGGGATAGCTGATGTCACGCGAGTCTTATCATAATTATTACCATCAAAAGGTAGTGTGTTCAAAGCTTGTGTTTGGAATTAATACTCGGGGCAGCAAATCGATGAGGATGGCTGAAGCGAGTCAACCAATAGACTGGTCAAAAGATCAGTTCTAGATGATCAACGATGACTTCCAAGAAGGTGCGCTGTTATGAAAACGTGCATATCTTTCTGATGTGGCAGACTGACTACCAAAGTCAGCAATCCAGAAGAGCGTGTTGCGGTCGTCGAAGGGACTCTCTCCTTTGCTTCACGTCTGCTTCCTCATTCATAAACGTTCATTTTCTACTCAGTAGGCGGAGAACTTCTCGCGTTCCCACCTTCCATTGGCGTAAAACACATGGCACCAAACCACGGAAGGGGACACACAGAAGAAGAATGGCAGAGACGGAGAGACGGACTTTGTGTTTCACCAAGTCAGCAGAGGCAGTCCCAAAAGTAAAATTTTTCTTTTTCATGAAAGGTAAGTAAGAAAAATATATATTTTACAAAAAAATAAATTAAGAAGATAAAAAAATTAATACTGCAGTTTAGTTATTAAGTAAGATTGATGATTTTTTTTAAATAATAATAATAATTATAAAAAAAAAAAGTTTACAGTTTCTAGAAAGAGTTTGATGGAGAGGAGAGATCACTTTTTTTTTTTTTAATGTGAAGAGCAATGATTTGGAGGTATTCTTTCTTAGTCTATTGTAATCCTTAGAATTTCGATGCTGATCTTCCAAAAACGTGTTTTCTGCTCTCGTCACAAAAAAAAAACATGATTCCATTTGGCCCCACGATAACGTTTGCTAGATGATCGAGTCTTGGGAATAGACTTTTTGCACGGAGACCGATGAAAGGTTGTGTTTTGATGTTGATTGTTGCCATCCAATCTAGAAATTAAAGAAAAATATTTATTTATTTATTTAATCAAAATTATATGATTCACAACAATAAAAGATGGATGGCAGCAAAAGAATATCGAAGGATCGTTCTTACAACAATTAGATACGGTTCCTTTTTTTTTTTCATTTGGACATATCTTTTAATTTTCTACTTCCTTCGCTTTAATATATATCTAATCATTATTATTATTTTATTAATATCGATATTATTATTATTCTTATTTTTGATTGATGAGGATTGAATACATGAAATTCAATAAGCCTAGATATATAAAAAATAAATCATTATATCACCTCAAATCTCGAAGATAATGAAACACTAAATGGACATATGCATGACATCGAGAGAGTATTTCTCGCTTGATGTTTTATAATCGATGATGATGGCAAAATCAATACCATGTAAAATAATTTTTTTAGATATATTTTCATTACTTATTCAAATACTTCTTATGAGCCTCTTTATGGATGCCTCTAGAAATAAACTAAAATATGATATAAGATAGAGACCGTTTTGTATCGTTGAATTGAAGCAAAATATAAATACAAATATTTTTCCCTCAAGTGAAAATTGTCCAAACACGATAAAGTCAAATTAGATTCAAATCGACCATATCAGCTACATATAAAATTTAGTTCACATGTCTGAAACCTTATCTAAATTACACTCGTCAGAGAAATGCTGTGTGCTGACATACATTGCTTGTTTCACTCGATGGCTTGCTTGCATTACCACCAAAAGGGTGTCGTTCTCGAGCATTTCCGACCTCTTACAACGTCCACAATAAATATCAACAATAGTTACTCGGTCCTTCATTCTCTATTTTACGAGATCCATGCTATATATATATATATATATATATATATATATATATATATATATATATATATGATCCTTCCCCTTCTCCGTAAGTTAGTAGATCTTAAGCCATCACAGGCGTTCCCCATATTTACGCGGGACCCGCAGGCGACGTCTCCGTGGGCCGTCTTCAAAAGTCAACAGCGTAGGGCCGTCGACCGCTGACCGTTCAAAGTTTCCAGAGGGAACACTCCCTCCACAAAAATCCATACTGCACACCTCAAGTAACGCCTTTCTACTGTGGACAGAATCCAATCGCATTATCTGTTTCACCATCACACTTTTTGAGCTCCATAAACATAAGCAGAAGCATCATTTCGTTTCCTTGCCACGGAGACGCAGCCCCTCCCTCCCAGCCCAGCCTCCTCACACAGAGGCTCAAAAATGGCGGCCAGAACCACACGTGAAGTCTCTTTCTTCCTCCTTTCCTTTCTCTCCCTCTGCTTCGCTCTCAGAGCCGCATCACAAACACTATCCAACGACGAGAAGCGAATCCTGCTGCAGATCAAGAGGGAATGGCGAGACCAACCCGTTCTCGCCTCTTGGAACGACACAACCACCTCCTCCTATTGCGCCTGGACGGGAGTCGGCTGCGCTGCCGATGGCTCCGTCGCCAATATCACGCTCTCCGGCCAGACGACCCCAAAGATCTCGCAACCGATCCCCAACTCCCTCTGCAGCCTCAGGAACCTGTCCTACCTCGACCTCAGTTACAACAACATCCCCGGCTCCTTCCCCACCTCCCTATACAACTGCTCCAGCCTCCGGTACCTTGATCTATCTCAGAACCGCTTCGTCGGCGTGATCCCCGACGACGTCGACCGCCTCTCGCCCCTGCTCACGCACCTCGATCTCTCCTCCAACAACTTCTCCGGCGACGTCCCTCCCGCCATCAGCCGGTTTCCGGCGATCCAAAAATTAGTCCTCAACAGCAACCTTTTCAACGGAAGCTTCCCGGCGGAGATCGGCAACCTCTCCCGTCTCCAGACGCTCGTGCTCGCCTACAACCCTTTTGCTCCCAACATAATTCCACCCGAGTTCGGCAACTTGACTCAGCTGGTCTTCCTGTGGATGACCAGTGCTAATCTTGTCGGCGAGATACCACCTTCGTTCTCGAAACTGGAAGCGTTGGTGCAGTTGGACTTGTCGGAGAACTCGCTCACTGGAACGATCCCCGCCGGAATCTGGGCGCTCCAGAATCTGGTCTACTTGTATCTACACAGGAATAACTTATCCGGGCCGATCACGATTGATGGGACCATCGGAGCTCTAGGCCTGGAAAGGATTGATGTATCGATGAATCAGATCAATGGGTCGATCCCGAAAGACTTTGGCAAGCTCCTGAACCTGTCTGTCCTCTTCATGTACTACAACCGGTTATCTGGCGAGATACCGGCGAGCATCGGCCTCCTGCCGTTACTGTACGATCTCCGGCTGTTCAACAACGGCTTAACCGGCGTCTTGCCACCGGAATTGGGCAAGCACTGTCCTTTGTGGAACATCGAGGTCGACGACAACAAGATCTTCGGTGAGCTACCGGACGGCCTTTGCGATGGTGGCGCCTTGACCTCCATCGTGGTCTTCAACAACAACATGAGCGGAAAGATACCGCCGTCCCTCGGTAGCTGTTCAACGCTCGACAACATTCAGGTACAGAGCAACAGTTTCTCCGGCGAGGTGCCCGATGGGATCTGGTCGGCGGTGAATTTGACGACCATGATCATGAGGGATAACGCCTTCTCCGGCGGCCTCCCGGACGAGCTTCCCTGGAACCTGACGCGGTTAGATATCAAGAACAATCGATTCAGCGGCCAAGTCCCGTCCTCGGCGGGCAACTTGGTGGTGTTCTTGGCGAGTAACAACATGTTCTCCGGCAACCTCCCGTCGACCCTAACAGGACTCTCGCGGCTGCAGTCCCTCTCTCTGGGAGGCAATATGATCACCGGAACGATCCCGTCGGATTTGTCAGTGCTGAAGTCGCTCGTGGATCTCAATCTTAGCCACAACCAGCTGACCGGACACATCCCGGTGGCGATCGGGTCGCTGCCGGTGCTGAACTCGCTCGACCTATCGGCGAACGAACTCTCCGGCTCGATCCCAACGGCGATGGCGAACCTGAAGCTCAACTTCCTGAACCTCTCGTCCAACCAGCTCTCCGGCGAGATTCCGGCGGGGTTGCAGAGCCCGGCGTACGAGCAAAGCTTCCTCTCGAATCCCAGTCTTTGCGCTGCCAATTCCCAACTCAACGTCCCCGCCTGCCGAAGGGGCAGCTCGGGTGGGCTGTCCCGTGGCCTCCGCATCCTCTTCTTCGTCCTCGGCGGGCTCGTGTTCTTGATGGCGTTGGCGTTCTCCGTCTTCGTGTACAGAGACCGCAAGAAGAGAAGCAACGGCAGCGATCCCGCCGTGTGGAACGTGACCTCCTTCCAGTCGGTGGATTTCACGGAATCCAACATCATGCGCGGCATCAAGGAGGAGAACCTGATCGGCAGCGGCGGGTCCGGCAACGTCTACAAGGTCGACCTAGGGAACCGCGCCGGGGAGACCGTGGCCGTCAAGAAGATCTGGAGCAGCAGGAAGCTTGACTCCAAGCTGGAGAAGCAGTTCCAGTCGGAGGTGAAGTTCCTGGGATCCATCAGGCACAAGAACATCATCAAGCTGCGGTGCTGCATCTCCAGCCCCGACGCGAAGCTACTGGTGTACGAGTACATGGGGAACGGGAGCTTGGATCGGTGGCTGCACGGGAAGCGGGCGGCGCCGCTGCATTGGTCGACCAGGCTGGAGATCGCCGTCGGGTCGGCCCGAGGGCTGTGCTACTTGCACCATGATTGCTCGCCGCCGATCATACATCGGGACGTGAAGTCCAGCAATATCCTGTTGGATATGGAGTTCAACGCCAAGATCGCCGACTTCGGTCTGGCACGGATGCTGGTCAAGCCCGGGCAGCTCGACACGGTGTCGGTAATAGCCGGCTCCTTCGGCTACATGGCTCCAGGTAAGAACAAAGGCCCCCTCGAACTCGGTCTCCATCCATGATTCAAAGCATCGAATGACTGCTAATGTTGTTTTCGTACGCAGAGTGCGGGTATTCCAGGAGACTGAACGAGAAAGTGGATGTGTACAGCTTCGGGGTTGTTCTTCTGGAGCTGACCACAGGAAGACGGGCAAACAATGAGGGGGAGCAATGTAACCTGGCAGAGTGGGCCTGGAAGCAGATCCAAGAGGGAGCAAACCTGCGCGACGCGGTAGACCCGGCCATAAAAGACTCGCCGCAGATGGACGACATAACCACGGTGTTCAAATTGGGGCTTCGCTGCACGGAGTCTTTGCCTTCACGGAGGCCGTCCATGAAGGACGTGCTGCAGGTTTTGATGCGGTGCAATCGGCCGCGCGGAGACGATTGCAAACCCTGCGCTGAGCGCGACGTGGCACCGCTTCTATCATCGAAGACGGGTAGTCGACGAAAAGGATCACCCAATGATGGCGATGAGAAGAGTTTGGCATGCAACGTCTGAGGCAATGGTTATACCTCGTCGTCATGACGATCTCTGATCACCAAGACACGGTCAATATAGAGCAACTAATGGAATATGGCCTTCACGACAGGGAAATCACCGGATGTAGTTGCAGAAGATTTCTGGCACAGCAACAGCTGCAGAGACATGACAAAGTCGCAGAATTCGAAAGGTTACTGTATCCCCTCCATTTGTATGTCAATAGTGAAGAGACAACAGGACGAGGAAAAAGAGAGGGAGAGGAAGAAGAGCATCACCACAATGCAATGCAGGTGCAGGAGACAAAAGCCGGGCAGCATCAGAACAGCGTCCTCTGCACAAGATTCTGCTGTCTTCTGTGAACTGACCACCACTTTGCTTACTCTACTATCAGATGCAATCGCATAGGTCAAATTAAGAACTGCATACACGGCATAGAAAAGGGTCTTGCACAAAATGTTTGGATTCGTTTAGACTGTGCTAGATCGATAGATATCATTTTAAGATACAGAAATACCTCTGAAGATTATGCCAACTACATACAACAGGCTGCCAAATATGAACGCCAGTAACCAAGAAGATTGTGCCTTCAAGACTTCCTTCGGTTTAGTCCCAACAACAATAAGATCAGGTGAAGTATGGTGGTGCACCGCTGACATGACTTGGAGTCCTGCAAATCTCATGTTGAAAATTTGTTCAAAATCAAAACACAATATGTAAAATCTGGAAGAGACCAAGACTGCACGATGTAAAACAACTGCCAACCAGAGGAGAAAGATAAATACCACTGATTAAATCAAGATCACGATGCATATAAGCATACAACAGCATCGGCAAAATTCAATCTTATGCACCGTATCAAGCTGCAGGTTATCACAAGCTGATCTAAGAATAAATTATAAGCACAAAGCAACCTGTGAAGTAATGCAAACTCAAACTCGTGCTGTGACAACTCAGTTGGAAAAGAGAAACACAAAATCCTATATCTGCTTCACGATCTTGAAGATAACTTACATGAAAGGAACCATTGGAAGATCAATTATCTAAAATGCACAATCAATAAAATTGATCTGAAGAAGTTTATACAAGTTTATGTTGAGGATGATTCTAAAATCTGTGCTCATAAAGGTTCCTCCAAGGAACTATAATAATAAAAACCTAATATCACATTGTGCTGAGATATCCCATCACAACCATAGCTAATACATTCAGATCGACCTGGAAGATAGATAGAAGGGAAATCCGATGCAAGCAAAATATTTTCAATTCCAGCCACAACGGGGTCATCACATATATCTAGCCAGTTAACCGCAGTAAGTTTAACTCTCCAGAATGGATCATACCATTACTCCACAATTAACTGATTCTATCCATAAAACAGAATATTTCCTTAATAGCAGCAGTTATACGTACCTTAGTATAAACGGAGTTTTGAGTTTCGATGGAACACAGTCTCCAAACAAGGCAAGCTTCGTTAACCAATCTCAGGACTCTCCTAAAATTCCTTTCAGATACATTCCAGATATCAACTTCCCAAAAATCTGTAATGACAAAGTTTCTTGAATTTATAGCATTTGTACAATTCTAGTGATAGAAATAAGTCAAGCTCTTTATACATTACTTGTCACCAGGGTTCAAACCCTCAAAAAACTAATGCTTGATCATAGTCAGTTAAAGAAAAGATGAGATGACCTGAAGTTTCTCATTCCACGTTGATAACCTACATAAAAAATGAAATTTAAGAACTTATACAATGTCAACAAGCTTTCCTAACAGCTGCATAGTAGAAATCTTGTTTTATTATATGTTATATGTTCAATTTATCATAACCAAAGGAGAAAAAGATTAACTTTACATGTCAGGCAAAAGAAAGTTTGTTCACCATCTCTCCTGATTTGGGAAGAAGACTGTGCCACTTAGGTATTGCATGGGCATGCTCTACATAGGCTGCATTTGTACCAGCGCCTAGTATCACAGCAGCAACTACATCATTATCATAACATCTCGCCCCAGCTAATGTCCCGATTGTATAATTAACCTGAATCAAGAATTACTACAATTGTTAATTCTATCTAGTCTAGAAAAGGAAGATCGTAGCAAAAAGTTGAATAACCACACAGCTCAAGAGGTACATATTGAAATCTCAGTCAAAAGTAATTTCATCTGAAACTCGAAGAAGGGAATACAAAAAGGAACTTACCAGTGCTGATACTTGCATATTGAGACCTTGTCCTTCAATGGCCCTCATCAATTCAGAGACCACATCTTCCCCAACCTGCCTTCAAGAACAACAACAGTGTGTCAGCAAGCTGTGAGGTCCCATCCTGACCGCACAAGGTGAAATACATAAGGTTCCAATAAACCATCAACAGAAATGATCATAATTTTCACAAAATAGTCTGGTTTGTCTCACTAAGAAAATATATCAAAACATAGAATGCCCAGACATGAAGATATTAAGCTACCAATGCATGTAAATATCTCAAAAGCAATTGTGAGAAGATACATTATGAATTCAAGAGACACTTTTGAACTTGAAAACTAAGTGTACTAGGTAATAAATCCACAAGGAAACTTGACATGGTAATGCATGCAAAAGTTACTAAAATCAACAAACAGAAAAAATGCAAACTTTAAGCATAGGAAGATGGGAATTTTTTATGAAGTAAGTTTCTGTTGCTCATTCTCAAAGCCTGCTGATCCTTGTAAGAGATGGAAGCTGGTTCCTCCGAGGTCTAAAGCATAAAACAATTCTGTCTCATCCTTGTAAAAGTTGTGTTCAAGGGGTCCTGATATTACCATAGAATAAAGATCCTTGTAAAAGTTGTGTTCAAGGGGTCCAGATATTACCATAGAATAAAGATCCAAATTGAAGATAAAAATACACATTCATTCCCGAGGAATGTATTATGTAGACTAGTAAATAAATGTCAATATGCTTACCAGTAATTACATAAACCAAAAAAATATTAACATCCCAAATGACTATTCTGAAGCAATGCCTATTTCTTTATAAAGGAAAATTCACTTCTAACATACTGCAATTTCTTTGTCATGAACAACTGCTTGCATGTGCTATACGCATATGGACAGAATATGTTTTGTGCATAATAACTAACTAAAATGAAGTTGAAGTGAATTTGTGTAAAACAAACTATTCGCTGACGGAAATGCATGAGGTGCCCTAAAGGCAATTTCAGTTAACCAAAAGTCCTATGCCAATGGTTATACGGCCTCACCGAAAAGAATGAATGTCATGGCAGAGAATTGATTAAACTTATACTGATCTAATCTTGAATGCACACCTAGAAAACCATGTTTGATAAGGCACCAAGGAGTCCAGAGCCAGAGACTAGGAGATGACTACTATTATAACGCAACCCCAGCGAGCGATTTCCATAGAGTGAATCCTGTGTTCTTCCACTCTCCAGAAACTATCAAGTTTATAAAAGTTCAGTAACTTCACTTGAGAAACTAATTTAGAACCACAAAGTCAGGTAAAGAGGAACCATACAAGGTATGCAAATGCCAAATAACAAAGCTAAGTTTCATGAATCGGTAGAAAAATGGGAGGTTCCTTTTCTGGTAACGGGAAAGATGGCTCGTACCCAGGGGGGAGGTTGTCGACGTAGCTGATCAGAATCTTAAGCTTGCTCCCGCCCTGGGAAGCGAGCCCCGCGTGCATCTCCTCCGTCGTCACGTCCGCCACCTGCCGCGGCTTCGCGTTGGGCTGGCGCGGCGCGTCGCTCCTTGAGTTCGTTGATCACCGCGGCAGCCCGAGCTCCGCGTCCGGTGCCGCACGAGGGGCACCGCCATCGCCGCCTTGGCCATGTCCTCGGAGCTACGGTTCCGAGCCGATCAGACGAGCCTCTCTCGACCTCCTAATCGATCCAAGAACTAGGCTCCCGGGCTCCGTCTTCCAAGATCCTTCCCTCGGACGACGAAAACGATCAGGATCACGAAAGAAGTCGGGATCCGCAGCTGCCTTCCCCTTTGTTTGAATGGCGAAGGCGAAATGAAAGAAATCTCGAAGGCCAGACCGCTAAAATGTGGGATTGGGCGAAACGGGGGATGGATTCGGCGGAGAGAGAGAGAGAGAAAGAAAACGAAGCAGACAGCAAAATAAATAAAAATAATTATTGGGTAATTTATCAAAAAACAAACCCTTCGTAATGAGGTTTTATGTACCTCCATATATTTGCTTTTTATCGGGGCGTTCTTTTTATTTAAAATCTCAAAAATATTCTTTTAAATTCGATCGATACTTTTTATTGAAACTTAAATATGATCGATCTAAGAGCTGATTCAATCCAATCTTAGTTTAGATGAAATTAGTTCGGGTTAGATTCTTTAAAGCGGATCAGGTTTGGTCATGTTTGAATCAAAAATCGAAAGGGGATACACAAGGATTATATTAAACGAGTATAATCTTAATCTAAGTGACGATAACCGATACTCCTTTTCTTTCCTGTGTTTCTCTCTAGTAACGATTGACGACTACATCCTCTTCTCTCCAACAACGATGAACTCCTGTGTTCCTCTCTGACTATCAACGATGACATCCTCTACAATTTTATTGGCGACATCCAACAGCAACCTCATGAGGTATACAAACAATAGTGTCTTCACAAAATCACATCATCGACCTGTCCAATATTTTTATACCATCTAAGCATATATATATATATATATATATATATATATATATGTATGTATGTTTTTAATATGAAATAAAAGATGCACCGATCAGTCTCCAAAAAATAAATTTGTGGTAGAGAAATTTGCTTAAAACATAATTGATTGTGTTGGTGTAATATGCTATTATCGTGTTAATGTCACTTGAATCTAGTTTTATTTCAATTTATTTCTTAGCTTATACAAAAAGAATGAAAATCATCAGACCACATTGAACTTGGTTGGAGTCAGATGGTTTTGGTCAACCCTACTTCATCTATCATCATATTTACTGTCTGTCACCGATGTGATTCTTTTCATATGGATGATCTAATTGAAGAAAAAGATTTGCATCATCATGATGGTTTACACATGTAGATCAAGTTGTGTCTGAAACCAGAGAGAGCTGCACGCTACGTGATTTCTTCTTTGTGAAGATTGATGTTTTCCATAACCTGTAGTTACTACAAGAATGAGAAACTCATGTTGCTCAAAATTGAAGGCATATGTATTTAAACAACACTCAGAAAAACTAAGATGATGTTATAATAAATTTTTAAAATTTTGGATAGCTTTATAGATAATTTTTTTATTTATACCTATGATACACTCGGGTTATACTTGTATTACACTTAAATTATACTCGATCATATATGTGTAGTGATCCTCCAAACTTTATATTGACGAGATAAAGTTTAAGCATGTGTTTAAGCACTTAAATCAAGAAAAAAAAGAAAAAGTGATACTAAATAAGTTATCTTTATCAAATAAACTTGATTTTAAGTTATTAAGTTATGTATATTACTTGATTAGAATGGAAGTGTATTGAACTTTCTAATATGTATTATGATATATCAATTTCTCTTTGGTTTTTATCGCTTAATCTTTAGATATAATGTCTTCTATTTCTAATATTTACTTTTGTATATAAATAGAATAATGCTATTACATAGATCTCCTCAACTTCGGGGAAAGAAGACAGATGAAGTTGTTACTACAGGTAATATATATCATAACTTAAAGATTTATATTAATCATTATTAAGTTACATGCAACTAATTATTCTTTTTTCGTGTGTAAAGTCCAAGAAGCATGAATCACTCATTCCCCCTTAGTCTCGACTGCATCATCCTCTTTTTTAGGACCCTCTTCACAATACATAATTAATAGTTATTGTTACATCGATCATTTGAGACATTTTCTCTATAAACCTAGTGGTAGAAATCTGAGGGCATATTATATTCATTTCTCTTAGGCGATATCATCTTTATATTCTTATGTAAATTTTTTTTATCATATAATAGATATTCATAACATTCGTATGTGTTAATATGCTCTTTGTAGTATTTTGAAATATTAGACAGAGGGATCCACTCTTACTTTTGATGGTGTTTTAGTTCAGTTTAGACCGAGTGATATTGCTATGATTTTAGAGGTTTCCAATAATAAAAAAGTAATATATGTTGAAGATTTGATATAAAAGATATGATATAATGTCAATGATAGATGTTGATATTGTCCATTTTTGTTACCAAATATAACTAAAGTCAAATATGATCAACAAATATTATACGTCATTATTTGATTTTATAGAAAATATTTTGATCCAACTGTGAAAACATAAAAGTGCCATTTGATAAAACCCTATTATTAAGTGTTTTTAGGATAAATTACACATAATTATTCCTTAAAAAAATAATAACTTTATGTGTTTAGTACCCAAAAACATATTGCAGTTGGATATTACATAAAGAGACGTGTACGATTTTTTATTACATGCAACAATGCAAGTGCTGCAAGAAGATAAATATGACAAAATTATTTTACAAATGAAATATGTAAATACATTTCTCAAGAAGTGCCCTATTTTTTAAAATACTTATCGAACTATAAATAAGACATTTTTTTCGGAAAATAAAGAAAATCAGTAAAGATTCCCATCAGTGCTCTATGAAAAAATTAAAAAAAACGAGGATTTTTGCAAAAAAAATGAAAAAAAAATAGCTTTATTTGTAAAGCAACATCCAATAATTTTTGAAGTATTATTCTATAGCAAAATAGAAAGATAAGATACCATAAGTTTTTTGTTTGGAAGTGAGACTCAAAAACTAAAGTCTAATTTTAAATTGAAGAAGAAAAGCTAAGAAATTTTGGACTTTTCAAGCAAACATTAATTGTTGGCTGAATAAAAAAAATTCGCATAAGCGACGGTCCGATTTTATGTTGATTCAATCGATTGTCAACATTTTGACTCTGATTTACGATGACGTACGATGCTGCCGTACATGACCCATCACGTTCACGAAGCTATAGTTACATACATTACCCATTATTATAATTGGTTCTTTTTTACAGCCGTCCATATTATGAAAAATTATATATATATATATATATATATATATATATATATATATATATATATATATA